GGTTAGCATTTTTAATGACGTAATTACAGTGAACAGTCCAGGTCAGATCAGTGTTATATGCACCCCAAGGTATTATAGTTTGTCACGGATTGAAGAGGGGTGTTATCAAGGTAATAGTTTGGAAGTTGATGGTTCGCTCTCGAAACACGTAAAAATTGGCATTTCTTATTGTTTAATTCCATGAGCCATGTTTTACACCAAAGAGAAATGGAGTTAAGATCATGTTGAAGAGAGGTAATATTGCCATCACGAGTTATCTCTCGGAAGATTACGCAGTCATCCGCAAATAAATGAATATTGGAGGTAATACAGGACGGTAAATCATTAATGTATATAAGGAAGAGCAGTGGGCCTAGTACGGAGCCTTGTGGTACGCCGGAATGAACGGCACTTGGTTCAGAGCTTACATTATTAACTGAAACAAATTGAGAACGTTTTAGAAAACATTCGAGCCATGTTAGAAGCTGGGATCTATATTAAGTTCATTTAATTTGTGCAACAGCAAGTTGTGGCAGACTTTATCAAAAGCTTTGGAGAAATCTATGAATACGCAGTCGGCAGAGCTAGTTTGGTCGAGAATAACGTTTAATTTGTGTGTAAAGGCTACAAGCTGGGTTTCGCACGAGAATGTTTTCCTAAGCCATGTTGGTGACGCGTAAAAAACGAGTTAGACTCAGGAAGGTTGCAAGGTTAGAGTACAAAATGTGCTCCAGTATTTTGCATGGAATGCTAGTAAGTGAGATGGGTCTATAGTTTAATGTGGAATGCTTGTCACCGGACTTGTGAAATGGCACAATTTTGCCAATCTTCCATTCGATTGGAATACGCCTTCGTGAAGAGACTGTTGAAAAATTTTAGTAAGAATATTGGATGAGTAGGCACAGGTACCTTTAAGGAACTTGGTGGTAATCAGGTCGCAGCCCGGGGCGGATGAAAGTTTGAGGGACTTAATTATGTTTTCTACACCAACAGAATCTATCATAATTGAGAACATGATTGGGTAGTTATAGCATAGAACGTGAAGCGACATGCTCGAGATAACATGTAATTGAGAAAGCGCATTGTTGAGGAATACAAAGTTTAGTATGTGTCACTGACGCATCAGACACTTTCATATGGATTTATATACAATGCTTTCAGCCACCCTCTAGTAGTTTGTTTGCTGCTTTTGCTGGAATCAGCGCAAAGCATGGTGCACAACCACTGGAGCTGCAATGCGCGGGAATCTCTCCTATGCACGCTATTAGCATGCATGCTGATCAATGTACCAAGAAGTTATTCTGTTATTTATTGAATTCTGGCATTGGCTCTTTGTAACCTAGTTTACTACAGAGTTTGTGCTGGGTACCCAAGCGCCTTACGAAGTTCTTGAGATTGCTTGTACTTTCCTTGTGGAATGCTCGTGAACAAACGGACGTGGGGACAGTACAAAAGAAACAAAAGAGCTTGGCACCTTGAACTCTTAGGGCCTTCACAAAAAATCGTTAATTGGAGGCTCACCTTTCTAATCTTTCTTCACATTTTCGAGAATGTAACTACACGCCAATGTTCGATGAACGCGCAGTTTTGTACCTGCATTGGAACGAAGAAATGGGCAGCAGTGCACTTAAAGTTAGGTAGTGATCGTGGAGTCAAACCACGAGATTAAAATAACTAGAAGAATAAGTATGACGTGGAGCACATTCGGCAAGCATTCTCAAATCTTGAATGGTAGATTTCCACTATTACTCAAGGTGAAGGTATATAACAGCTGCATCTTACCGGTAATTACTTACGAACCAGAAACCACGGAGGCTTACAAAGAAGGTTCAGCTTAAATTTAGGACGGCATAGCGAGCGATGGAAAACAAATTTTGAGGTGTAACCCTAAGGAAGAAGAATAAAGCAGGTGAGTCAGGGAACAAATGGGTGTTAAGGACATCACAGTCGAAATCAGGAATAAGAAATGGTCATGGGCAGGGTACTTATCGTGAAGGCAAAATGACCGTGGTCGTTAGCGGTTAGGGGGAGTAGTAGGTTTGGTTGGCACATGACATAAGGAATTTTGTGGGTATAAAGTTGCAGCTGCAAGCACAGGACCGAGATGACTGGCGGAACATGGGAGAGGCCTTTGTCCTGCAGTAGACGTAGTCAGGCTTCTGTTGTTGCTGCTGATGATGATATAGATAATAGTGGTAGCGCATGCCTGTGTAATCCATCGATTGACTTGCATAAAGATGAAATCAAATACCTTAACAGTTCTTTCACGCAGATTCCACGTGGGCCAGATTGTGCGTCTCTTCAGTTGATAGCCGACGGTTGTGGTGTCCCGACTTCCTTCTTTGCCCGTGTTCACACGCCCTGCCTTTTTAAAAATGATTATGTGCCAGCTATTAAGGCTGTCTGTTTTTGTAACCGATGGCAAGAAACGACCACATAGAATGAAAATTCGCGAAATATAAAAATTACTTTTCGCAAAGCCAGAGCCTTCGTGCACGGTACAGGCATCCACTCGAACCACAAGTTTATGCGTGCCCGGTGAACAAGAGAGTAATCAGCTAAACTAAAAGTGTCATAATTTATTGATCAAAAGATACATCAGTCGCCGAACTCGTGTGCTGCCATTTTGTTCTTAATCCACACGACCTGCACTTTTTCTGGTTGTGTGCAATGCCGTTCACTATGCACGTGATACCTTATCGCTCTTATTTTATTATTCTTTATTTGGTTGTACATGTTCTTCGGTTACCTTTGTTATAAGTCTCGAGAGAGAGAGAGATAAATGTGTTTGTTGAGACAGAGAATTCTACGCAGGCTTTCAAGCTATACAAAATGAATGCAAACAGCCTAGTGACGTTTCCATTTTGTTCAGACTTGGAAGTAGCACGCGCTGGCTGTTTGCCTTTTCAATTCGCAAGGTCTTCGACGTCCGGTTGTTGGGCTCTCTCATTCGTTTCGGTTCGAGCGAGCACTTCGCAGAGTGCACGTACTCTACGAAGTCAAGGTCCCGGACACAGTGCTGCGTGGGGACAATGGCCAGCAATCTTGTCGGCATGTTTTGATAATCTCGCAACATCCGAGTGGTAAAGAGGCTGGCGCAGCGAAAACACTGCCGCGGCCTTTTGCGTCACCTTGTTTAAGCTTTGCAAAGCTCCCGGATCGTCCGTGCCAGACTGCGTGGGTATGCGCCACAGAGAGCAGTTCGTCTGCGAAGCTGCTCATAGCATAGCAAAGTCATGTGGCTGGCAAAGGGCAGTGAGGCCGAGGAGGATGGTTAAGTCACCACTCAGCCTGCGATCGCATCGCTAGTACGTAGTTGCCATAAATTCGTTTCTGGTTTTCTTTGAAACATGACGCAAATAATGAACTCTTCTCCGCGAAACTAATCATGAGGAATGGGCGCACCACTGGAGATCGCTCTGTATTAAATCACCCGTGACATTGCCCACTCGCGCATGTGAGCGACAACGTGTCTGTACAATATACATTTTTTTTCGTTGAGCCACCGTTTCTCTCGCCCTCAACTACGGGGTATCAGCTAGTTATCGGTGTTGCTGTTTCGCCGCTGCGCCCTGAGCTCTCACCTCCAGGCTAGCTTTTTGTCGGCGTTGCCCTTCGCGCACGCTCACGTTCGTTTCAACCGTGGCAGAAAGGGAATCTGTGGTCTAGAGCGCACTTATCTTCGTCGTCATCAGCGTCGTCATCATGTCGTATAGTGGGTCTCTTGCATCATCATCAGCGTCATCGTCACTGTGAGCACGGACAACGGACAAGCCTGGACCCTATGAAATGCCTTGCTCCTCAAAGAGGTGGTGTCTATTCGGGCGCATGCACAAAGAAGCATAAGCAGTAACTCTAGTCGCACCAACAAAGAGAGAAACTTTCCGTTAAGTCGGTATTTGTGCGGGTTTTTTTCTTGAACGTAAGGCGACTTCTTATTGACCTGTGAAAAGCTCACCCTGCGAGGAGTGGCGGTCACAGTGACGAAACTGAAGTCGCCTCTCACCTTGAGTTCTCCGACTGATGAGAGCAAACCAGCACCGTACGCCCGGATCTCGCCCGCTTGCTTGCAAAGCCCGAACTCCACCGTGAACCAGTAGAGCTGCGGAGACATACAGAGGGGCTTCTCTTGAGCACTCTACTATAGTTGAATGAACGAAAGTGGAAGGACTTGTCTTTCTTTGTTAGACACAATGTTAGTAAGAACTAACAGGCAATGATGCCAAGGAGAGTATGTGGGATGCTATAAATAGTAATTGTAATGCAATTGTAATACACTTGCGACCTTCAAATAACGCGTCCGATGCTCATCAAGTGAGCCACAGCGGCGGTCATACCCCCGTCAAATTTATAGGGTATATTTGCGTTTGAAATCTGCGAGTGTTAGTCAACGTTGCTAGTAGCCGTGATGGCAAGTGTGGAACACCAAACTGCGGAACACACTCACCGTTATGGCTACTAGTGGCGCTGCCTAATGATACCGGGCTTAAAATTACATAATATGCCCCGTAAAGAGGACGGTGGTGGGATCGCCGCACCATCTGTTTGTAGAGCATCGGACGCGTTATTAGAGGATAGCAAGTTTGGTCCCAGCAAGTTTCACATTTCTTCTTCCCATAAATAAGTAAGGGCAGCACGGGCATTACAGGATTGTCGCCTGACTCCTCGTGCAGCCTTCATCAAAGTGAGACATCGTATAGAGCGCGATTATTCGAGAGAGAATTCATCGCGAACCGTGGCCAGCTTCTCGATGTCCTCGTCGGCGATTCCAAGCGAGGCGAGACCGATATCCTGGGAGAACTGGGCGAAACCCGGGTCGGCAAACATGGGCACGTGGCCTATCAGCTCGTGGACGCAGTCCCTGTGCATTCGGGGTACATTGGAAGGATCAGGGGGTTTAGGAACGACTGCGTGTCGAATATATAATGTTCGGATAATGTCACATATGAACGAGAAGAACAGGTGCTACGCCGTCAACTTCTTACACCGTTTATAAGTCGTGCCACGTGAGTTCAAAAAAAAAACAAACAAAATTCTGTGGTTAAGTTCCTGGATGGCACATTGACTGGCCAAGCTACACGTCTGAGTTTAAAGGCATTTCGCCGTCAGTGATGTCAGCGGCTTTTTGAAATAAGCAATATTATGGTAATAATAAAATATAAGCGCGCATTTTAACAATTCTACTCCTCGTTCACGAATAGCAAAACGTAAAAGCAAGCCCATTATGGTGCCATTAGCCTGGTGCCGGTCTCTTACAACATCGTAACTCACCACAGCGGCTTCGTCCTTTGCGTGTTAAATACGAAGCCTGGACTCTAATGTGGCGCCTGTCACGCCGAAGCCGTTGCAATTTCGGAGTGAATTTTGCTATAGTGCAACTGGTAAATAACGTGCTATGCGTGTGAAAAGTCATCTATGAATTATTTTGACATGATAGATTCTTTCTCAAATGTTTTGTGCGTGCTGCACTGAGCAAGCTTTGGCTTCGAGAGTACGCATTTATCAGTCGAGTGAGTTACAGTGAAGGCATTAGATTACGAATGGCATTAGGCGGATGCCATTTTAGTTTTGCGCGTGACACCCTTGCAAATTGCATTAAATCTGAACACATTACAAAACTAACGCCATTTTTTCAGCCCAAATGTACGGGTATTGAAGTGGATCGAGTCAAGTGCTTTATTTTACTTCACACGCATAGAATTATCAGGACCGATAGCCAGGGAAGGCTAGCTTCCGGTCCGGTGTTAAGTGAATCACAGGTCAGTTGTAGAGTTTTAACAGAGTGGTATTCAGTATCATCATAAGTAAAAAAAAAACATTGTACTCTTCATAAACAAAGAAAAGTTCTTTATAATGTACACCTATAGGTGTTCTTACAAGTTTGTTTGATATCCTGGTACTCAATAAAAAAGTATTTATACTGGGCTGCTTGAAGTTCCGTGCGGTTTTAAACTCTAGGAATGAAATATTCCAGCTTTTAGTTCCTCTGAATTCAATTAGTGCAACGGACTGCACTATAGTTGCCACGGTTTACGCCAGTGGCGTGCCCATGCATGCACTGTCCCCTATATGCTGTCACGTACGGCTCGGGCGAGTGGTGCGGTGCCGAGCCGTGGCGCATGTACTGCGTGCACTGGAACACGCGGAAGGCCAGCGACGCCAGGAAGTCGCGCGCTGTCAGCAGGCCCGAGGCAGGACGCAGGGTGAAGCCGCTGCGACCTGCGCGTTCCAGAAGGGAGCAATGTGGTGCAGTCTCGGCGATAAGAGTATATAGGACGCTTGGGAAGTAAAAAAACAGCGTGAAAATGGAGACAAGGACTGAGGAAGAGCCGGCAGGGCGACGAACTCTGTCTCGTCCTCAGTCATTGTCTCTATGTTTCAGCTGTTTTTACTTCCTACACATGAACTGCCCAACTTTCGCTTCGTATAGCAAATTGACCGGTAACGGGAGCCGCAAGATTACGACGTGCGGTGGTCACGGTTGTTCACGAGCACGTTCCATTTTCCAAGGCAGTGGTGGCTGGGATACCGGCGGACAGGCCATCTTGGCTCATCCGAAACGCTAGTTCATTGCCTATCGGCAGGTGTGGCTATGCACATAACGCTTTTTTTTTTGCTGCATTTGCCAGCCACAGTATGTTTATTGAAGTTGCTCCAAAAGAGCTGTTTGTAGGAATTACTGCCGGCCACCCCTGTTTAGGATAATGGAATGTGCTCGGCACGCTCGATATCGGTGTGCTCAAGAAAAACAGCACCACTTGTCGCAATCCGCTCTCTTGTGCCAATCTTGCTCCGCCGACGAGGCAAGTTGATGACAACTGTGGAGGCATGCAAAGACCAGATGTCAAACGCATGATAATAAGTGGCTACTGAGCAGTGGGTATTGAGAGGTATACAGAATTGCGCAACGTAGTTGCATATATTTGTCTAAGATATGTCTATGCAAGAGCATCAAAGCTCTGAAAATAACTTCCGTGAAAGGTAGCAGAAACAAGCTACGTGAAACGAAAATAAATTAGTTCAAGCTCAAAGTTAGCTCAAGCAATGGAGGAACAAAGGCGATCTCTTAGTCAACCAAGGAGCTTAGCTTTCTGAGAAATTTGTATAAATTTGAATCAACTCTAACAATTTTAAATCTACTTGGTTGTTAATACTATTTAAGCGGTTCATAAATAAATGAGTAAGGCCGCCTTATGTATTTACCCTCTTACTACGCCTTATAAAACTATTTCATTGCATATAACCCCCTTGCCACAATTTGTGGCAAATATAAGGGAGGGGCTTTACCCTACAGTGGGCGTATATATAGTCAGGCTGATGATTATGATTGTAATATTGCACTCGTGGCGGAGTGCGGGTAGTGGAATGTGCTACTTGCGTTTGAGGAAGTTGGACACGTCGTCCAGTTGCGGGATGGCGTCGGGACCGTAGTGCAGTTCCCTCTCCAGCCTCGCCAGGGCGTCGGCGAACTCCTGGCAGGCGTGCGTCGGGACCAGTTCGCGCATACCTCGGTACACGACGCCCCTGCGACGCACGCAAACGATGAAACGTGTATATCGCGGAGTAGACGTTTTCGCCAATGCACATCTCGCGCTGCGCGTACTGGTGACTCGTAGCGGTCATCCTAGTGTAACATGTTGCTTCTTCATACCCGAAGAAGCAAAAAAAAAGATGGTTTGCCACTTTTTATTCAGTCCCAAATTAACCCTGACATTGCGAGAAAGTTGCAGAAAACGAATTCGTATCGCAATAGATTAAGACGGTGGTGTCACAGCTAGCTCCCTTCCTTCTTTATCAGCATGCCCCTCCTGTCACGCCTGTTTTGGGTGCACGCTGTTTCAAACAATTCATGCTTCCGCTTGGAGCCCAACTGAGGAAATCCTCCCTGCACAAGACACGCACGCTGAGATTCAGTTAGAACTTATCATTCACGCTATATCGGTTACTTGTCATCATAGTAAGTGGTTGAATGGAGACCAGAAAATGATACATCAACACTATGTGCGAATGTCACCTCGATTGTGCCCTTGATCTTACTTGTTTTCTTTTTTTTTCAGATCCGAGCATATGTTAATGACAACAGTTCTCAGAGGAAAACCGCATATAAAGTTTTAAAATAGGTATAGAAATACGCTAGTAGCGTCGCTTTAAAACGCCGCAGCGATTAGGCACTGCTTTTGGTACTTGTTCGTCGATTCATCCTCGCCGACTCACCAGGTGCGAACTTCTTCCGGCGTGTATTCGATCCTCGGTATGGGCTGTCCCCTGCGAAGTTTGAGTAGAGCGTAAAGCGCGGGGCTCCATGCCTTCTCGTGTATATTAGTGCGTGTGTACGTATGCACATACTTTGTAAAAAGTGTGTGCGTGCAAGTAAGTGATTGGTGGTGAGTGGCGTGAACCGCTCATTGCTGGCCATAGCATTGCTCAAAAACAACTTAAAGTGTGTGAAGAAACTCTAAAGTAACATAATAAGCAGAAGTGTGCGCAATGTTACTTCTATCAAACGGTATGTCTGTCACACAAGCTTTTCAGTTTTTTAGGGTTTTCTTTTCAATTATACAGATATGCGTCATATTTGTATCAGTATAGTTAAGATGTTTATATACGATGCATAATAGTGTTTATTACCTATACAAATTTTGCACGTCTCATTTGTGTGAAATGATCTGTGCATTTATATTTTTATACATTATTACCGCTTCCGTTATGCACTGTTTTATGCTTCTTTTCTTTTGTTTGCTCAAGCAAACCGTTTATTTTATTATTGTCGTGTATTGATTTTGATGTATGTCTTTATTTTTGTTAACCACTCTGCTAGATATAACCAAAAATGTTTAGTAGAAATGCATAATTAGAGGTGTTTAGGTGAATGTAGTTTTTTTTGCTGTCAAAAATTAGGGCAAGGACTTTTGTCAAGCTGCTGAATAGCAGCTCATTGTTCTTGTCCTTGTGTTCATTATCTTGCAGTAATGAATCCCAAATAAATTGATTGATTGAAGTAAGCAATTAGTCATTTTAATAATTAACTAAACATTCCTAAAAATATTTCGGATACATGCGGCGTACTCCGGAGCTGCACGAGCTAATGCTCCTCTCTCTGCGCCTCGTCGGCGCGGCATCGCTTATCCGATATATGGTAAACATTTCGACTTAACTCGCTGCAGACGACACGCATCTGAACTGCCGTAACAAGCAGGCAGTCGATAAAGCGCGGTAAAAGGCGGCGCACTTATCGCAACACAAGAGTTAGCGAATCTCCCTGAAAAGATTCCTGTCGTGCCGGAGAAACCCTGCTTGCTTGCCTCAGACACTGCAGTCGTCGAAGCTTTTCTTTTCTTTAACACAGCGGTGGGAACTACACGAACGGCAATATCTGGGCGTATACACACTACCTGAGCTGCCACACGTTCATTGTTCAGCCATACATCTTTACAGCATGTTTTGCAACGGTGGAGAGTACTTACTGCTTGTAGTCGAAAGCAATCTGGGCGATCTCCTTGCGGCGCTGCCTGTACGCCGGGTCCGAGAATCCCTGCAATAGAGCGAACCTCACAAACTCAGTCACTTGCGGGAGCGAGGCAAGCGTTGTGAATGGAGAGCGTTTTCGCACAGGGGACATCGCTCTGCCGGTGGCTACAGCGCCATGTCGACAGCCTCATCATCACCCTCATCATCATTCTCAGCTTATTTCACTTCACAAGACGACGGACTATTTCAGTTATCTCATTTTACTCTATACTCTGTGAACTGATTCTATATTATCCCTGCGAATTTCTTAAATTAAATCAATCACTCAATCAATGTAACTCTTTGCCTTCCCCGACTGCGTTCTTCATTTCTTGATAAGTATTCTGTGGCTCTTACTTGTCCACCAGTTGTTCGTCCAATGCAATACGTGGCCAACGTAGGCCAATTTTTTTCTCGCTTGATGCCAACTAGATTATCTGCAACTCTTGCTTGTTCCCTTATCCATCCTTCCGTTTTCAGATATCAACGTTTTTCTACAAAGATTTGATTTTAATAATTTGTAAAAAGAGCCTGTCTCAACACGAGTCAGATGCACAGTGAAAACCTTTGGAGTGGCCTAAGTTTTGCACACAAATCCCGCTGCGGTTTCCTAGTGGTTATATGCTCTGTTGCGAGGATGAGGGACGCGGGTCCCCAATTTATGCTGCGACGGCCTCATTTCTACGAAAGCACTCAAAAATTGGTGCTTTCTGTCTTTTTTCTTATTTGTTCATTGCATGCATTGGGTATATTTTGCCGCAAAGTTTAGCAACCCGACTTGGCTGAAGAACTCGAGTGTAGGAAACGTAACTTCATAGAGAGTATTTTTGTCTGCGCAAGTTGTTGCGACATTTGCGAAAGTGACCAGCAGGAAAAATGACGGGCAAGTTTTTTTTTTCTGTTAAGAGATACCAGACATGTTTGTTCTCATAATTGGCTGAACTTGAGCGTCCAGTTTCTTAACGGCAATCAAGAGTGACGCTATGGAATTAAAAAAAAAGCTCCTTTATTGAACAAAGCTCACTTGGCAGTTCAGCACTATTTCTACTTGTGCGTGCGTCTTTTGTGTCGTCCTTTCCGCTGGTCAAGTCCGTAAATACGCTTTAGTATTGCAAGTGAGCAAGCCTCACCGGGTGATCGCTGTCCAGGTCCGGCTCAAACTTGGTCAGCACGTGAGTGCAGAAGTCCAGGTCGGTTATGTGCAGCGGGAACCAGATGTCTGCGACGCACACCAAATGTCTGTTAGCCAACCGCAGTTGACTGATTGAACGAACTATGGGGCGGGCGAGCAAGTGGATGAAATGACTGAAGAATGACTAATATAGGCCTAGTTCTTGGTCTCTGGTGCTGTTACTGACGGGAAGACATGTCCTTTTTGTTTCACACTGCCATGACGTCAGTCCAACCATAGGCTTGAAATTGTAAAGGGGCTATGACGCACATTTATTACTAATAGTGTGTGTTATGTGGCTTAATCTTTGGGTATTCACAAACAAACTGACGAAGTTTCCGTGCATTTGGTCGAGAACCTAATTCATAACGAGTATTTTTATAGCGACTCGAGAGTCTGACGACAGTTGTGCACTCGCGAACCATGACGTAACAAACAGCCTGTTTTGCGATCGCCTGTATTCCGGCGAATGATATTGTTTCACAGTCAGCTGTGAGTTCAGTTAGAGCATTATTCGGTTCTACAGTGAAAAATGAACGATTTGCAGTGCCCAAAACT